TTATAATTGTTAATATAAACATAATTTTAATTTTTTTAAACATATGTAATATCTTTGAAATATATATTTTGTATTTCGTATGATTTGTTCTTATTTCCAATATTAAAAATTATTCATGTTTTTGGGGCTGTATACGATACGTACTAATTAAGAAGTAAAACCAGGGGTAATTTAAATATTATACATGTGCTGCCATCTATTTTTAAAAATTTGTATTCCAATCGAGGTAACGTCAAACCGCCAGACATAGCGATCTATTATACTTGTTTATCTATGACCGGCCATGCTTGCTTTACGGTCAAGTTGGCAACATTGATAGACATTTACAATTTTATTTCAAAGTGGCAGTAGAAGTAGTAGTCAACAAGTGAAGTTTGTTTTTGTTTCGTTTTCGAGCTCTGACTTTGTGATATTTTAATTTACGTGTCGTATAAAAAAGGTTTAAAATTTATTTTTTTGTTAGCAGTTTTTTTCATTTTTGGAAGTGAACGAAAATATTTTGAGCACATATTTGAAGGTATTTAAAATATAGTTAGTATTATATTTTTGTACGTTTTATTTTATTTCAATGTATCATCAATTATTTGTAAATAGATGAATTTTGAAGAACTACTTCAATGTCCTGTTTGTTTCGAACTGCCTAATGGAGCCATACAACAATGTGAACAGGGCCACGCAGTTTGCCAAAATTGCCGAAGAAAACTTACAAATTGTCCTGTATGTCGTGGCTTATTTTATGGCACAAGAAATTATGTTATGGAAGAATTAATTGAGAAAATGAAACGTTCAAATGTAAGTAAATTTGGTATAGTAATGTAATAAACTATTAATTAAATAAAATAAATTTAGATTAAAGGTGAAACTAATAATAAATCAGATGTGAATAATGTCAATAAAATTAGAAGAAGGGCACCACCGTCGGCATCACCAGGGTATTATCCCTGTAAAATCAGTTTTTGTAAAGCAAGTTTGCCAGTGTGCCACACTCTTGTTCATTTGAAGAACCATCACAAAGAGGCTCTATGTGAAGTAAGTAACTTAAAAAAAAGTATATTTTGGTTAGAATATTATTACTCACTAGTGTTTATTTTCAGTCATCTACTCAAGATGGTTCAACTTTTACTCGTGTGATGGACATTTTATGGATACCAGGACTTCGCCAAGTTTTTGCTATGCAAATATCAGATATGGGCCTATTTTATTTAATAATTCATAATGATCAATTTGATGGTAAGCAGTTTTGTTAATTCTTAAATTGTTATACATAAATAATATTATGTTTATTTGTATCTTACAGGAACATTGCGAGCATGGGTACAAATGGTTGCTCATCATCAAGTAGCACAAAAATTTTTGTACGAGTTAAATTTTCACTCAGAAAATCATGCATTAAAAACCGTGTTTATAGACAATGTAAGATGTGCTTGTGAATATGTAGTGTAGTAGTAGGTGGATTAGCTTAGGATGCTTCACTAATTTATTATTAGAAAATCAGTTTTTTATTAAATATTTGCATTAATTAATTACTTTAGGATATAATAAAATAATAATTGCAGGTGCAGTCTGTGAAACAGCCATATGCCCGTTTTTTAAGTACTACAGCAACACCGATGTGCACCTTCATAAAGCGAAATTCAAGAATATTTAATATGCAGAGAGAATGCCCATATTCAAGACTCCATTTAGCAATTACTTTTGCAGATATTCATGGATTAACAATAACACGAACACACGGCACAAAATTTTACAAAAATGTGTGTTATTAAAATACCAACTATATTGTTTATTACAGTCTGATTTTTTTTTTTTCTTGCAGTATTTACGCACTGACTACCCAGAGCTAAAACGACATTGGAAGTTTGACTTAGCAAGCAAAGATAATTTGCTACAAATAAATCAAGCAAATACAGCTGTTGCGACATCCAATGATCATTGAAATAAGCCATAAAATTCCTACAAATGTAATTATAATTTGTTAAAAATGTGATATAGACCAATTTTAAAGGCTTATTACTCGATTGTTACTTGTTAGTTATAGATTTAAACAAAAATTTTGATGTCAAACTTAATAATAAATTAAATTAATAAAACTATCAAAATTGTTTATTATTTATTTAATTAACGCAGTTCTAGTTACAATATTCATTTAGAATGGCATTAATCACTGTCATCTTTTTCTTTACGATGGCTTGATTTCTTCTTTTTATGCACTCTGTGTGAGGGTGATCGTGATCGTGATTTACGCCGTCTTGACCTTTCCCTGGACCTTGATCTTTCTTTACGATGTGATCTGAAATATTTTATCTTATTGACTTACTCAATGCCAAATCAAAATAAAACATAATTTAAAGATATATTTAAAACATTGAGCCTTTAAAACATTAGAATTGAGATTCAAAATAATAACTATTCATTTCGCACATGTCAGAAATAAGAACTAGAAGACAACAAGTTTGTCTTTATGAAGATATGTGAACTATTTTGTTTCCCGTAAAAACATTTTCTAAAGGGAGCCAATTCTTGTTTACAAAAATTATAATTTGATATTAATACACTATATAGTAGAAATGATGAGGTTCAATAAATGTACTACTAGTATTAAACTATTTGAAATTTGAAAAGAATAAAAAGCATTTAAGTGTGATTAATTACCTGTCTCGGTATGAACGACCTCTATCTTCTCTATCATGCGAAGGTGAATGTTCTGCATCTTCTTGCCTAACGCTTCTTTCGCGAAGATCTCGTTCACGTGGATCACGATCTCTATCCCGCTCCCTATCTCTGTCTCTCTCCCTTTCTCTATCCTTATCCCTATCCCGGTCCCTATCTCTTGTCTCACGATCTCTTTCCATTCTTTCTCTTTCCCTTTCGCGCGATCTGTCTCGTGATCTGTCAATATCTCTGTCTCGAGACCTTTCCCGATCTCGAGTTTGAGATCTATCCCTGTCTCTGCTATCCTGTAATTATTAAACAAACAATTTGTTAAATCTATGTTATTCAATTTATAAAGACACTAAAGTAATGTAAAAGAATCCTACTTATGCTTTTCTTTTATGCAGAAAATGTTTTACAAAATGAATAAAATTAACTTGAGAAGCATTCCCAAGCATCAAATATGGTGTTGCAATAGCTTTACTAATACATTGTTGCTATAAAATTAAATGTGCTTCATAGACCTTACTATGTTATAGTACATATTAGGTCTATGATGGCCGCATATTTTAGTGATTTTATAATCCAAACCTCAATGATTTTCATTCCCTTGTTTTTACTTTTTTCATGTACATTAATTACAGTGACTTTCCGCATCAGCGAGTTGTAAAATAACAGTCATATATTGAAATCTTCAATTTTTTTTTTTTGTAAATGTTATAATGTTGTCTATAAATAAATGTTTGTCAATTAATATTCACAAAAGATTATCTTTGCTATTGAGTGCAAATGCTAACTAATGAAGTTTTAATCGGCGTAGTCTGAATATGAACGCAATAGCGATGAGTAATATATATCTGTTTATAAATTCTCTTTCTTGAACATTTAATTTAGGCAACATTTACATCATGTATCAATATAAATGGTCTTGTAATATTAAAGTAGACATTTGAAACATCTAAAGATATGTAAAACTTTAAATGTGTAGTATGTAACCTGGAATAGTTGTGGCAGATGGTAAAATGATATATTTTATAATCTATTATAAAGAAATTATAATAGGTCAGAGTGATAAAATTAGTGGTAAAATAAGCTAAACTAAATTGCTTTAAAAAAGCTAAAATTTTGCACTCAATCTTAGCATAATCTGGTTCTAAACTTACAGGAGAAATTGGTGCTCTTAGTGGTGGCCTTTGACCCACCATGTGTGGAGGCATTACCATCATCGGTGGTCCACCCATAGGAGGAGGCATGCGCATATGAGACCCAACCATCTGTGATACGGGACCTCCTATTGGTGGGGGTGCTACAGGCACCATATTCATTCCGGGAGTTAGCTGTTTCATGTGATCCGAAGGGGTCCAGTTTGAATCTCCTTTGAAAAACAAAACATGTTGTACAACCACTAATTATTAAAATATGAGCAATAAAATGTTTGCATTTGAATATAATTATTCTATACAATAAATATTGTACATAATATAATGTGCAAATAAATGTAGAAAGCTAATTTTGATTTTACTATAAAATGTGTAACAAATATAATTATATATATTCTTTTCCATCCACATAAATATTCAACTAATCAGCTTTTAATTTATGAACAGTATCATTTCATTTACGTTTGGAAAATTGTTGTAAAACTAACAATACATAACATACTGTTCAGTGTGTCCACATTTCAATATTGGCGACACAAGGCTATAAAAAGCAAATTCCATCTGTGCATAGACGAATATTCAGTTTATAATGTATTACAGAGATTATTATGGATTTTCTAAATTCCAAATTACACTAAATGGTTTTAAACATTCACATAAAAATATTTATGAATTACATAAAAATTGTGTTTACCCCATTGTAAATCCTGTGTCGGCTCATAAGTATTGAAGTAAGGATCTGGTTCATAGTAAGGCTCAGACATGTGAGTCGAAGGGAACTGAGAATCTCCCATTTGTGGAGGCGGTAGTGTTGTATCAGGAAAACTTTTTGAAACCCGACTATATTCCCGACGATCAGCTGTCATTACCTAAACAAAAATAAATTGCTAGTAGTGTATCGCACTGTGCCTTAAGACAAATACTGAAACTTTCCGATTTCTAATATTTTTTCTTTTTTTATTGTACTTAGCAAACTATACACATAGTATATTCAGCTAATTTAGAGCTATATTTATTTGGCGGGGTGAGAAGGATCGCTATCCTGCGATAGCACCTTCTTAGATATTATGTTTTTTGTTGTAGTAAATCATTGCAAATTATTTTTTTAAGATGCTTTGGCGGTGAAGGCTTGAGCAGGTTACACGCTAATTCGTTCCAATAAATTAAAACAAAAATTATAAATTGGGGCCTAAAAAGCATTAAAAAGCCAAACCCTTCTAAATTGTTTAAGCAAATTCTCTCCAAATCATAGTAGATTCATGCGCACCATGCTTTTTTATAAACCTTACAATAATCAGAATTTCAATTTTAAGCGACTTTTAATTATATAACTGTAAAAAAAATGTCCCAGTAGATTTAATACTCGTATATGCAAATATTGGAGTTGAACTGCAACTGAATATTTTCAATCCTCTTATCAAGAAGATATTAACTTCCCGGCGTAGAATAAGATATTGTTAAAGTCCTAAAAACGAAAATGAATTTTTTGCACATCTTTGCGTTTAGAAAGTTTCTGAACATTTTGATATACCTAAGAAAAAATTGATGTGTATGTGTTTGCGCATCTGTGTATGTATGTATGAATACAATTTTTCGTCGGCGTTTTCGGGGTACTGTCATATTTCGATGCTGGATACGGAGCAAAAAGTTTGAGAGAACAGACCATCCGATTTGAATTATTCAAAAACGAGTGGTGGTGCTTAGCATTTGGCAAAGACAGGTCCAGCCGGAGATACGAAACTGTATATGCAAAAAATGGCAGTTATTGAAAGAACAAAACATTCGATTTGAATGATTTAAAAACGTTTTGCTTGTATTGACGACACGATTTTGGGGAAAGCAAAAAAAATTCTATTTAATTTTTTTTTATTTCTAATTTTTTTTTAATATCAAAAATAATTCGAATTTTAATTTTATTTTAATTTTAGCTAAAATTCTAAAGCTCACTTATATACTTAAATAATTTTAACTTTGCAATTTAGTACGTGGTGTGTTCAAAAAGTACCCGGAATTACTAATAATTAAATTTCGCGGGTCTGGAGTGTCTGATTGTCAAAATTTTTTTTTTATTGTGTTGGTATACATGCCCCTAAAGTATGATGAAATTTTCAGCTATATTCACTGTTTACTTTGTCTGTGGTAGTCGCTAAGGTTCGACGTGTTTTTCTGAGCTCGGCGATTTTTACAATGAAAGAATTGAAAAAGTCAAAGAATTTGTATTAAATTTTGCGTAAAAAATGAAATAAAGTGTTGCAAAGTGCAAAAATTCACCAGATATGGCTCCGTGTGACTTTTTCCTATTCCCAAAGTTGAAGAGACCCATGAAAGGACGGCGGTTTTCCTCGATTGAAGAAAATCGCCGAGAGTGCTCAAGGACATATCAAAAAGTGAATATCAAGGGTGCTTCGAAAATTGGAAAAAACGCTGGCATAAGTGTATTATATCTGGGGGGGACTACTTTGAAGGGGACCACATTAATGTAGACGAATAAATAAATATTTTTTTGAAAAAACGAAAATTACGAAAACTTTTTGAACAGACCTCGTATATAAAGAATAAAGGATCCCTTCGCATATTGCTAACTCCCTTCATCAAGTTCTGTTCTTTTACTTTTCATGTAAACATATATAAACGTCATCGTCCAATTTATAAGCTCTCATATTCTATGCATAATATACGAATAATGAAAGTTACATTTACAATAATATTTTTAAAAACATTTAGTATTCTACGAATATTTTGTGGGGAAATCAAGCAGGCTAGTGATTGTAGAAAAAAAAACAATTGGACTTGTCAGATATTTTTGTATCATTAATTTTTATAATCAATAAATTTTATATATTTTTATTCAAGTGGAGTTTATACTTTCATATACATTACTACTCCCACAATTCTATTGCGCTACTGGAAGTTTCAGCAATTTGCCTTAATTGTCAGTTTAATTTCGACTATAACACTTTTTCAAACTTTGATGAATTTTTAAGATCAAACTACTTGTCGTAGGGCCGTAATATTTCAGTATGTTCTATAAAACTATGATATCGTCAAAAAGTTCCATAAAAATCGATTTTTTTAACAGTTAAATGAGAACTAATTTAAAATTAATCAGTATCATTCCCAAATAATATCTTTCAAACAGTTTTTGATTTTTTTAAATCGATTCAGAATTGAGGGACGAAATTTTTTTTCACTTTTCTGCGATTTACAAAGAAACGGCTTAGCGGATCGTCGCGCAATATCGACGAACGATAGTTTTCATCGAGATATATCAAATGGCGTTTTTGAGAAAACGTCGATTTAAGGTAAAAAATCTGTTCACACGCACATACACTTTTCCCAATTTTGGTCTCATTCGATTGAGAATGGCTTCAAACGTCGTGAAAACAAAATTGGTAATAATTCCTTTTATTTTAAATGAGTTAATGCATGTAAAATATATTTTCGGCGGCTACTACTATGCTAATACGCTAATACGCTAATACGCGGCTAATACGTATTATGTTTAGTAACATATTCTATGCATGTATTACCGTGGAAAAACACGTTCAACATGACGAACTTTATTCCTGAACGAATTAAGTAGGTTATGGGAAGCACCACTGCATTTCATAAACGAAAATTGATATATTTGAAAAAAAAAAACAGTAGATACATGTTTATATTAGATATAAACAATAAAGCAATTTAATGTGTTCATTTTTGTCTGAAATATAGTATATCAATTGTTATGTTTCAATATCTTTTATGAGTAATTTTTAAACTAGCTGTAAGTGGAATTCTGTCTTGAGGCAATTAAGGCATCGTGCCTTAAGGCAAATTGCTGGAACTTCCCGTACCGTAACGAAATGTTCAAGGAAAACTGAATGTTTTCAAATAGATTATTATAAATACTGTAACATTGTCTAATATTTAGATTTATATAAACCGAATTGCAAAGTTCAAATTATTTGTTTAAAGTATATTAGAAATTTAGTCAGAATTAAAAATAAAATCTGAATTATTTTCGATATTCAAAAAAACTAAAAAAAAAAAAAATATTACAATTTTTTTTCCAAAATCAATTATTTTGTTAAAATAAGCTGAAAGTTTTTTGAATCATTTAAATTGGACGCTTAGTTCTCTTAAAAACTGCCATTTTTTGCACATTTAGCTCTGTATCTTTGAAATGGCTGGGCCTGCCATTGCCAAAAACTAACAATCACTTCTCACAATCATTACCAATTGAATGTTTTTTAGATCATTTAAATCGGATGCTCCGTTCTCTTAAAAACTCGATTTCTATTTTCTGCACTCTTTGCTCCAAATCTCCGAAATGGCTGGACATACGTTTGCCAAAAACTAATCAGCTCTTTTCCCTATCGATAGGAATCGAATGTTTTTTTAACCATTCAAATCAGTTGATCCGTGCGCCCGGAAACGTGACTGGAAATTTGTATTCATACATACATACATACACACACACACACACACACACACACACACACACACATACATCCATCTTTCTGAGGTATGCCAAAATGTTCAGAAACCTTTAAAACGTCAAGAAATGCAAAAATTTTCAATTTCGATTTTCGGCCTATTACAATAACTTACCCTACGGGAAGTTAAAATTGAAAATGAGTAGTTTTGGAAAATTTTGGGCAAATGAGGCAGAAATGTAAAATGATATGGAAAAGATCTTAAATATCGTCTGTAAGATGTCTGGATACTAAGTAACGCTGAATTTGTAAATAGTATATTTATATACTTTAAATTTGTTTGATTAGATAGTACAATACCTGAATAACATTTTCTTTAACCCCAGGAGAAGGTGTAGTAGGGTTTATACCTGGTGCTTCTTCATCACCCCTTCGACTAGCAAGTCCTGTACCACCAATAACATCTATTGATCCTGTCATTCTACGACCTGGAGGAGGGCCAGCCTTTCGAATTCCAGCAGATGGTATGTTTGCGTATTTACTATTTTCATTAGAAAGTGCAGTCACAACTCTTGACCCTGTATTGATATTACCTGCAAGTAACAATTTATGTACTAACAGGAATACAAAATTTTATAATTAAGTTCTAGTTCAAGATATATTCTAAACTTGTAAATAATAGCTTGTCATATAATGTTTCCAAATATAAATAATACTTCAAATTTAAATTATATCAAGTTTAAGTGGCATACCAAGAACAAGAAGACCAGTTCCGGACTCATGAACTCTCATTCTCTTCTGTCGTTCGCAATATGCTCTCCAGGTATCTTCATTGAATCCATAATTGAAATAATCTGAAATAAAGTATTTTAGTAGTCTATAAAAAAAATAATACATTACTAAATATTAATAAAATGAAATTGCTACCTGTTACATCTGCTCCTGGCTTTCTCCATGGCTTATCTTCTAAGGAGTCTATACTAAATTCATGTACTTGTATTCCATTAATAATTCCAGCTTGTTCAAAATCATCAATATTAAATTTTCCTTGTACCTGTTTAGGTTTATCGGCATTCGGAGCACCAGCAGCAAGTAGAGGTGCCCTTTGCTAAAGGCATTGTTGGTGTTATAAATATAAATAAATACACACACACGCACATATATATATATATATATATATATATATATATATATATATATATGAATAAAGTCTAATAATAAGGCATAATATCAATAAAAAAAAACATTTTATCAACTTTTAAACATTTATTTCACTATCCATAAGATTTAGCTATAATCCCAGCCTTCATTCAGTGGAAATACTTGCTAATCTTAATGCTAAAAGCAGAAAAGTTAATAACCCATGGCATGAGGATATGTTAATACACTACATAAAAAGTACAAACAGAAACATTGAAATAAGATTATATTGGGTTGTTGGGAAAGTGACTTCGTTTTTATAGACATTTTGTCAAGTTATTTTCATATAAAAAACAAATAAATCATGTATTGGCTGTTCTGATTGAAATTTTTTTGTCATATTTCTGGTAGTAGCATAATTCCTATACCATAAACTTTTTGGTCGTTATTGGCAAAAAACTGATCAGTGTTTTTTGAACTCATTTGAGGTAAATGTTTTACAGCTTAACCATTTTTTTTAGTGACCAGAACAAATAATGGTCCGATGATGCCAGGTTTGGAGATTTGATGGATGTTGCAATGAAAGTTTTTGGCGATTGAGCAAACTTATGTGAGGTTGTGTTGTCTTGCAATACTATACTTAGCAATTGCTTGCTTCATCAGCAATTGCGCGAAAAAAATTGATAATTTTCATGACTTTTCAGACGGGGAACGCGGACGCCAGTGCGGCGACACAGGTTTCTTTCTATGAGAACCATACATGGAGCTTCAAGAAAAATTCCATATCTTTTAAGTGGTGATGTATTATTATAGGGTTAAGTATAATGTTAGCTTGAACAAAATACAATTGAATCCTCTGTTGTAAAAAAAAACAAAGTGGCTTTCCGAACAACCTTATATATTGACACAGTTTTTTTCTTGAGTCAATTTTTGTTGTTATATAAGTATTTACGTCTATTATTTATAAATGAGTTTATAATGTTCATGGGGATCAATATGTTGATATCATTTTCATCAATTTCTGTCCATGAACATTTTTGACTGAATTTTGTTTGAGATTTTTTGCTGAACATATTTGGTTAGATATTTGATGGATTTGAAGGAATTAAACTTTTCCCAATTTGATCAATTTTCTTTATTTTATTTTTTCACAATGTGGCATTCAAAATACATGTAATTAAATTTTCCACATTATGTAGAAATAATGAAATTTATTTTGACAAGTAATTTTGCTGTTGTTTCTAAAATAGCTCAAACACCAAACATTTGCTATCTACTATAATAAAAAAATGGCATTTTTGTTCAGAAATGATTGGGCACAGCTAGTATATTATAAATATTTTTTCAATATTTAACTATGCAGATGTAAAAATAAAATTAAAAAAAAAAAGGATAGTCAATACGTCAGGTGTATGTATAACGCACTGAGAGATTCGTTTTGACTATAAACAATATCATCATGCAATGTTTCATTAAAATCCAGTTGTGTAAACCTAAATATCAGTTGTTTTAATTGATTTAATTTTAAGAAAAGTTGTGAAAATAAGTTTGAAAAATTACAACTGATTGTAGCTATAAAAGTAATAGATAAATTATTTATACCTTCACATTTATCCCTGCATATGAAGGACCTGATTTGATATCTCCTATAACAACATTAATATCATCATCGGATTCACTATCACTATCTGCATTTGAATCATGTTTGCTTTCTTCTTCTCCATTCTCATTATCTCTCTGGTCAATAGGTTCCTGAACATCAAAGTGTTCCTATAAATGAAAGTATTATAAGGTTACTATGGTTTTCTCATCATGAAGAACAGGGTCATATTTTCCAAAATATAATTAATTTTACCCAATACTAGGGAGTACTCAATACTAGATATATATACCCAGTAAAAACCGGGCGGCGGTAGCAATCTGAAGTACACATTGATTATACATGGGTGTCACAGCACCGAAGGAATGCTTGGAGATTTCACAGTGCCGACGCTCACGTCACACGGTGTTTACTGGGTATATATATATATATATATATATATATATATATATATATATATGGAAATGGGAAAAACTCTCACACTACTTCTTTCCTGAATCGAGTCGGAGTTTGACTCAGCTCACGGACCTGCCCTAGGGCAGCACTACCCATTATTATTATTATAAATATATATATATATATATATATATATATATATATAAATATAAATATATAGTTTCTTAAAAAAATATTTCATAAAATAGTTACTATTTACTATTGACGACTAGATAGTGTTACAGTAAAGCTGTAATTTTTAATTACTTTAGTTCTGTCACTATTCCCAAAGTAAATACTCTCAATTTAAATTTAATTAAACCAAAATAAACTTTAAAACTGCACATATTTTCCACCTCACTGAAAGGTCGTTTATCATTACGAGCATGGTACTGAAATTATGATGGTAAAATATATGAAGCAAAAACTAAAAACATTTACATGACGTTAAAACAAATCTCAGTAAGAAATTTTGGCAAAATTAGTTCCAGAATTGTCAATGATAGAATTAGTTACCTCATCTACATGTTCATTATGTGACTCTTCTTTCTCCTCCACAGGTTCTCGCTCACAATTATTTTCGTTTGTTTCTTCTTGATTTTTATCATTCTCTTTTGCTACATGATCTTGAGAGTCAGCATTGGATTCCCCATAAAGCCAGCTATCTTCATTTCCTGAATCATCAGCCATCTCCAGAGAAATATGACTTATTCCACAACTTAACACATTTTCAGAATTCAACAAATGCACTTTTATTCGCCCCGAAAGCTACAAACTTTTACTAATGTTAGAGCCCTAAACAATACTAAAATTTAATTTGGTAAGAGCCAATAAAAGCGGCAAAACTGCCGGTAATGCTAATTTATGTCTGACATTAACAGACAATGTAATAATGCTTTTGCCGATATTTTCATTTGCAGGGTTACCAGAAAAGAATCGCTATGTGTGTGACAATGAAATTGTATAATGGCCCGTCTCCATAGATAAGTAAATATAAGTAGATCGCTATCTGAGGCCATTTGACATTACCTCCATTTTAATATTTTTAGCGATCTGAAGAAGGCAGCACTTGTTCAGTATATAAATCAACCGCTGGTACTATTCCTAGATATGGTTCGCATACGTAATTCAAAATAAGAAAACCTAAATAATTACTTATATTGGAAATGAGAAAAAAAACATACGAAGTACAAAATATATTTTCAAATATATCACAAACATTTTTACATAACAATTAAAATTTTTATAAATGTAATAATCAATATATACATAATAATAAGTATTATAATTTTACAATTATAAGTAACTAAAAAAGTATTCACAATGGTATGATAAATTTACAAGGAACGATCAATATGAATTACTTAATGATCAACAATATATAACAACTACACAGAAATATTGTAAAAGCTTTCATAAGTATAATGAATTTACACGAACTGACTAATATTCATTTCTTACTGACTAATAATAATATATTAAAAAGAGAAGAGAAAAGTATAGAGTCTAAGTATGTATAGTTTATAGAGTATATACTATAGATAATGGAATAGTATAATTAGAAGAAATGATAAATAATAAAAAAATTTAAAAAGTTAAATCCTACAGACATAAAATATATATATTGATATCAAAATTGATGAAAAACTAAATTCCAAGAATTAAAATTCATTTATGAGTCATTCTTCTTTAACATTAACTTTGCATTTGATAGTTATTTTGCTTTCCAATCAATCATTAATAAAGCTGCATTCTACAAAATCTTGAATTTCTTATGATTCGATTGTGTCAATAGAACAGTGCAGCAGTTCTTTTGGCTGGAATGTTAAGAATATTTCTGAGCATCTTATACTCTGTTGCAATTTATACCTTGAATTGTTGCATTGTTTGTCTATCCTTCTTAACTCCCTCAACATATAATGGATGTGTCATACATTTTGCATGCCCTCGGCATCCTTAGTCACTAGATTCTGCTGCAATTTGTATTCCCAAGAACATCTAATAAACATAACATGTAATATAATATCAAGTCGTAATAGCAAATGGTATTACAATATTCAGAATTATTATTACCCTTTCCACTGGAGTTGCAGAGTGTTCTCCTGGGCATATATCAGATTGTCTTTCTCTTCTTATATCACTAATATTACTATACTGTGAACTATAGATATGAGAACTATTCTGTTAAATATAATTGGACATTTCTAATTTGTTTACTTCATAAAACCGGAAAAAAGTGCATTTTTTTATTAATTCTGAAGTTACTACAATTTGGTGCGTTACATTTTCTTGTTATTATCTCTCTATTTAATAGTTATTTTGCTATCTATTCGATCCATAGATAGAAGAAGAGTATCAATGAATCAATCATTAATAAAAAATAATTTTAATAAATTAAACATACTAAATACAAAATATATTCTCAAATATATCACAGACATATTTTTGAAGAATTATAAACTAAACAGAAATAACTGACTACTATTAATTAAAGTATATTACAGACATATTTTTAAATTACTACAAATTAAAGAGAAATAACTTATTAATATTAATTACTTAATGACTAATTAGGTAAGTAATTAATATATTATATATTAAAAACTTAAAAACTAAGAAGTGAAAAGCGCAGGAGTATTGACGGTGGAATGACAAATTTAGAAGGAATGACAAGTAATGCAAAAATTTAAAAGCATAAAAAGAACAGCAAACTTTTAAAAAAGAACCAATACTTCCCAAAGAAAATAATCCTAAGAACAAAAAATATATATATTGATATCCAAATTGAGAAAAAACTAAATTACTAGGATTAAAATTAATTTACGAAACATTCTTTTCTATTATCTCTCTATTTAATAGTTATTTTGCTATCTAATCGATCCATAGATAGAAGAAGAGTATCAATGAATCAATCATTAATAAAGTTACATTTGACGAAATCTTTGAATAGTTTCTGTGTATGAGTGTGTTTTAAACATCACATTTACCCATTTTATGATCATGATGAATACTTTAACACTAAAACTTCCATAAAAGATAAAAAACTATAAAGCCAGGTGTTTTCAATAAACAGAATAAAAATTTATGCATTTGATGCCTTTGCGGACTTTTGGACAGTTTCAAAGCAAGAATTATGTCCTTCGCTGTGAACTTTTTTATTTTCCTTGCTAATGGTATTTAAAATTAAAATTACTTGGCCATTTTACTGGATTTGCACACTTTTGTGGTTTTGTTTACCCTCTATCAGAATTATCAGAATGTTTTCCTAGTCATGACTGTGTGAGAGAAGAACTCTTTCATAATTCCCGTAAAGGAGATTTGTCTAAACTAAAGCTCAAAGAAGCCTAAACAAGAAGCATATTATTATATAAATTATTACAAGAAAGACAGATACTTGATTTAAAGATACAACCACATTATTCAAAATCAATATCTAAGCAACTTGACCCTGGTAGAGTTGTTCTGAAGTTTTCTCGCGAGCAAGTTCGGGTTATCAGCTAGGCGATTTCTATATTTGTGTGAGTAAGCGATTATTTCATCCTTAACTGTGCTAGTGCCTGTGTCTTGGTGTATTAACCAATTTGGAATATACTTTGGTGCTTTCAAAATTTCTTTTAATAACTTGTTTTGAAATCTTTGAATTAAAGGAGATTTGTCTAATCTACCTACTTCCATAAAGCTCAAAGAAGCCTAAACAAAAAGCATATTATTATATAAATTATTACAATAAAGACAGATACTTGATTTAAAGATACAACCACATTATTCAAAATCAATATCTAAGCAACTTGTATTTAATTACCTGAAGTAAGATTACTATCCTTCGACAATCTGTCACTGCTTCTACGTCATTTTTACAAATTGACATTGATACACCAAGTACTAAAATAATTATTATTAAAATACATTCATATAGTACAAACCCGGCATATTTAAGCTCCGGAGAACGTGAACTTTAGGATGCTTTATTGAATTGATTGAAAAGTGTTAGACTTCTGACATTTTCATCGTATTATTATAATACATTTTCATTATATAAATAAATACAATATACCTGGCCATCACTTGCAAGAAAGACGAGCAATTCAATATTCATTAATTGAAACAACTTGGTACGTGACCATACTAAATTTATTTATTAAATATTCACTAAAACAGAAATATTTAGCAAGAACACGGTTATACAAACATAGGTTTTTTTATCATTTTAATAATTTTTACAACTGTCCTGAAACGGACAACAAGTAAAATATTTGACATGAAACTGAAGGCGTTGGCAAAATACAAATCATCTGACCATTGCCAGTGATTTGTCGAAGGTCTTATCTATTGTTGATTAATGCAGAAGAAATTTTCTTTTTAATCGGGCCCTGGTAGAGTTGTTCTGAAGTTTTCTCGCGAGCAAGTTCGGGTGATCAGCTAGGCGATTTCAATATTTGTGTGCGTAAGCGATTATTTCATCCATAACTGTGCTAGTGCCTGTGTCTTTGTGTATTAACAAATTTGGTACTTTGTGTATAAACATACTTTGGTGCTTTCAAAATTTCTTTTAATAACTTGTTTTGAAATCCTTGAATTATTGAAGCGTTTGAGTTGGAAGTTGATCTCCATAGCTGTATGCCGTATGTCCAAATTGGTTTAATGATGACTTTATAGAGGTAAAGTTCATTATGCGTGTCAAGTTTTGATTTTCGTCCAAGGAGCCAATGATATCTTCTTCTTATTTCTTCAAGCTGCTTCCTCTTTTTCTTAATGTGTTCTTTCCAGGTTAGTCTCTTATCCAGGTGTAAACCTAGATATTTGTCTGCATCTGTTTGATCTATAATTTCGTCATTAAGTCTTACTGCAGGACAACTCCCTTTGCAAAGAGTGAAAGTAATGTGCTTTGACTTGCTACTGTGAACTTCTATTCTCCACAAGATTAACCATTTTTCTATCACGTCAAGATGATCCTGCAGCATTTTTGATGTGATTATGGGATCTTCATGTGTTTCCATTATGCCTGTGTCGTCTGCATATGTTGCTGTCAAAATGTCATTTTTCTGTGGTAGGTCCGCAGTGTATATGAGGTATAATAGTGGCCCAATGATTCTACCTTGAGGCACTCCCGATCTGACAGAATGTGATGAGGATGTTTTACCCCTTACACTAACGAAGAATGTTCTACCTTCCAGGTAGGACTTTATTATTAGGTATATATCAATCAATAATGCATTTTTTATTTTGTAAAGTAGGCCGGGGTGCCACACTTTATCAAATGCTTGACTAATATCGAGAAAAACAGCTGAACAGTAGTTCTTGTTTTGGAAAGCCTTGTTTATATTGTCGACAATTCTATGAATTTGCTCTGGTGTGCCATGTTTTTTTAAAATCCCAAATTGATGCTCAGGGATAACGTTGCTATCATAAATAAAGGGTTTTATTTTACTAATTAGGACCTTTTCAAATATTTTGGATAACGTTGGAAGTAAACTAATTGGTATATAACTTTGGACTTCATTCGGATTTTTACAAAGCTTCGGAATAATCATGATTTTAGCTATTTTCCATTGATCGGGATATGATTTAAGTCTTATTATACCGTTAAACAGGATTGTTATAAAACGGTAAGCTTTGTAGGGTAGTTCTTTAACTTCTTTAAGTATGTTAATATTAATGTTGTCAACGCCAGATGCTTTTTCAGATTTTGCTCTTCGGGTTTCATTAGTAATTTCTGATTATGATGTTTGATGAAAAATTTGACTGAACTTCTTTCAAAGAATAAATTTTTCTTCTTGTTCCGAGGATTTTAAAGAATTTGGCGTAAAAACTTTCTTGAAGTAAGTCGAGAAATATTTTGCTTTTTCTAAATCACTGCATGCCCAAGTGTTATCAGGTTTTCTAATTGGAGGTATAGTGATG